AATAGGTGCCTTGTTGTAGGAGGACAATGGTGGAAAGTGAGAGTTGGAGAGAGGAGTGCCTGGAAGAGTGTGTTTTGTTGGAGTACAAGACTAGCCTAGTTAAGTGAAACATTTTCACTGTCACGGCTGAATATATAGCTGATTTTGACAATGTGGAAAAACCTGAAAGATTTCAGAATGAGACCTCTCCTTACGTGAGACTTGATTACACACAATAACAAACAGACCAGATCAGGCAAAAGGTAAAGAAACATATTCATCTCTTTGTCGGGATGCTTTTCATAATGTTGTCAGACACTGAAAATAACCATCTGAGCCTGTCAGTTACAAAAACAAGCACTTTAAGTGGATGTAAACTGACAGGGCCAATTGCCCTGAGTGGTTCCATTGCAACCTGTTCTGCTGCTGTTGGCTGCAGCCCTGTCGCTCAATACTGGATTTCAAAAACTGTTGTTCTCACGACACACTTAGACAGATAAACATGATAAAATAGGGTCCCAATTTAAAAATACTGAAGTTTACCTTCAAACTCTCTCTCCACTCAAAAATGAGCTTTGCTTATTGTCAGTTTATCTGTGTGTTTGAGCTTCACTGTGCAGAACGACTTATGTACAGAGTTTTCATCTCCTGAAGGTCTGACAGTTACTCTTTGCTGACGAAATCTGAGTTCAACACATGTATGAGCATGTTTTTTTGACACTTCAAGTAGTTTGTAAGCCAATCTTAATCCAGTGTGCAACTTACCCAGGAGCGATATGGAAACCCTGACGCCTACAGTGCACAAACACAGAGAACGGTCTTTACAGTGAAGAAGTAGAGAGCTTGCATCCAGCAGGAAACTTTTAAAATGAACAATATTTGCACATTAAAGGTTCTGGATTTCTTTAAATTAGAGAGAGGAATAGGAGTGCTTTGAAAAACCATATTAAACACAAAACATAAAGTTTGTGGGCAAGAACCAGCCTACTAAAGGGTCCAATCCAGCCCACTGGATGACTTTACACAACTGATATTGATGCACTTGTGAAGGCTGAGAGGTGTCAGGTTTTAGGAGCAAGTTTAACAGTGAGTAAAATGCTGCTTTTCCACCCTGACCAGAGTACAGCTCTCTGAAATAGCAATGAATACTTAATCTGATCATATTTAAAGATAGTGAACATTGTACAAAATATTGTCAATCAGCAGCTTCAGTACAAAAGAATCTGTATTGTGATACCCCTCCCACTGTCTTGGAGGATGTTCTGGCCAACCTCATCAGGCAGTTGGCTGACATGAGAGGGTCTTTGCCTTCACCTGGGCCTTCCAGGCTACAAAAGCTGCCTCATGTTTCCACACGCTTTCTGACTTCCTACAACAGACGTCCACTCCGCATCCTTGCTTTTTGGTTTTGCACCTTCAACACCTTTGCGGCACACCTGAAACACATCCATGTTTGGCTTTCATTACTGACTTTCTGACCTGCACACTCTATTGTTTGAGTTAATCTTAGTTTAATAAATGATGCTTGTTTTAACTAAATCTTTTGTGTGGACTCCCTACTCAGATTTATGCAGCCTGTTTGTGACAGTATCAAACTAATATATTAAGACAGTGGTTCCCAACAGGTCTCTGCTGTCTCTGTCAAGTATCTCTCTGTGAGTGTGGCAGAAAACAGCACTTTAAAATAAATGCTCTGGGCTGGAAATCCACTGGACTTAAAAATAAAGTGTGTTTTTTACAAACTTGACACATTTGTGAGTCAGATGCAGTTCATTCAAAATGGGACCGCGACTCAGCAGGTGGGAACCACTGCCTTTAAAATATATTGATGGAACTCTGATGCTACGGCACTGCCAAGACTTAGGATTTATAAATGGTCTGTAAGGCCGGGGACAAGTTAATGTGCTTCCTCAGTAGCTTCAGCTTTGGTGTGTGATGCCAGCAGGACTGCACATGGGTGGGAATGTATGGAAAAATGCACATGTAATGACAGTGAGACTGAATGTGGAAAAACTGAGACATATTGCTGAGACTGCAATTATTTTACTTATGACAACTCAGACTCTTTACTGTCTGTTTTGTAAATTAACATTTTCACAGTGTACTTCTTCATACTGAAGAAAGGGAACATTTGGGAGTGGCTATTTATAGGTTATGCAATGTTTTCACTGGTCTGGCCCATTTCAGATCAATTTGGGCTCTATAACCAAGCAGTACGTTACAGTTCAGGTCGGTACGCTTTCTTTATGTTTCCACTGTGAAAAGTTGTGGATGGTACCAACAGAACCGCTCTGTACTGTCCCCATATTTGGTTCCCGCTCTGTTGGGGTACCTAGCACACAGATCTGGTACTAAAAGGTGGAGCTGTGAACACTGCAGTCTGATTGGTCAGTAGAGGACGGTCACTCTGCTCAGGGCTGAGTTGTAGCTTGTTTTGAGGCTCATGTATCCACTGTTCATACTGTGGAGAGTTTTATTAGTAAACTGTAACTATAAAATGAAAGGATGTTCTGCTGCCTCTCACAGCAGCTGGAGTCTGAGAAAAAATAACTTCATTCACTGGGTCGACTGCTGGCAACTTTTAAGGTGGAATGTTTACTTTAATGTTACTCAATGTATGAGTTGACGACGTGAATCCATCAGCACACCTTAAATTTCAGCGTGACAACTTTGACCATTACTTTAGGTTTTTTTGTCTCTCTTGGATGACATAGACTTTCAGTAATGAGTGGATATTTTAGTAATAAGTGTTTAAAAATATCAGTTTCGACCAGATTATGTTAACAGCATATTCTAATCCTCTCTCAGAGAAAATAAAAAGCATCGCTAAGTGTCATTCCTGTGGGCTACAGCAACACTAAACCCCTAAGCTTGCCTGAGAAGGACTAAATGCACAAACCTGTTTTTTTTTTTTTTTTTTTTAAATATCCCATCTCACTGCAGCCTGTTTTTATTTTGTTCCGAAAATGTCAGCGTGCAGCCTTGTTCTGTGGACGATAAACGAGGTGCAGACTGATAAAGAAGGAAATACAGTGAGTGACAACAACCTCATCCACATGAAAGAGTACTGTTTGAGGTGGAAATGCTAAACAGACTAGGGTCTAAGTACCATGTCTGAAGGGTTACTTTTGGTTCCAAAGGTACCATACCGAAAGTGTTTGGTGGAAACGAGACTTATTTTTTGACATCCCTGCTTTAAAGGGTACTTGTACGTCTTTAAAACATGAGGAGAGTGTCTCTAAAAAAGGCCACTTGGGTTCAAATTATGTTTTGGTGTGGTCACAGGTGTGCTCTGTTGCACCTGTAAACACGGTGATGTCACAGTGTACCGACACACCTTGGAGTGTCACCTATACGTCACTGCAGCAGGATGACAGTTCATTAATAACGGATGAATTAACAGCCAGATCGCTGAGCCTCCACGACACCTGAGCAAAGTCCGTCCACAGATTACAAACGTGATGTGACTGAAAGCTCCAGAAAAATCTAGCAAATGGATTTCGACTGCTTTTTCCACTTTTAAACTACATATTTGTTTACAGGAGCATTAAGCCTTTACAGGAGCATTAAGTGTGCTTCCATATTTGTGACACATTTATACCACAGACACAAAGATGCCTGGAGTCAAACATGTCCTGGCCACAACTTCCCAGTTTGTCTTGACCACAGTAGCCTGTGAAGTTTCGATTGGTCACTCTGTGGTCAGATGTTGCCATAGGGTGTGGTGTCTCAGCTAGGTATGAATGGATGCTGCTATTTTTATTTAATGTTTTATAAAAATGTGACTTTAACTCTTCCAAATACAGACAGACAGCAGTGAGTGGATGGTGGAGCAGAGAGGACTCCAGGTGAAGTTGGGCATGGAGACAAGTTGTGTGTCCTCAAAGGGAACAAATCCTCCTCAGCATTAGAGCACCAGAGACCCCTGAACACAAGCGCACATTGCATGTCCTTTAAATAAACACAGCAGCTCACATTGTAAGTCCACCAAACACACGGAACATCCGGGAAACGCAAAAGACGTGGAATGTCTTATTTCTTTTCTTCCGCCCTTCAAACCCGGTAATGATGGAGGAGTAAAAGGCGACATGATTGGTGGATGCAGCCAGCAGAGGAGAAATGTAAACCCCTTCGTTTTGTTGCATCGGGGGGGGGTTGAAAGCTGAAAGCTGAACGCTCCCCTCTTGTTTTTTCTCTCCCCCCTTTCCTTCAATGACAGCAGGAGCCAGCCAGCCGGGCGGTGCGGTGCGGTGCGGTGCGGTGGGAAGCTTCCCCCCCGGTACGAGAAGGATTTCCCTGCAAGTCTGCGGTAAGGACAACAACAGAACAACACCACCACCTAGAATAAACAACAGGCAACCGAGGCTCACATCAATGCGAAGCACCAGGAAGGGAGAGAAAAAACGCACACAATACACAATGGTGTTGCCTGGGGCTGCTGCGATAGCTCTCAGACAAACCCGGCAGAGACTCGCTTCGGGTTTGCTTTGCTTGACAGCTGCAGGGCCAATGGAAATATGCACGGAGCCAGCTGCGCTAGGCTGCAGCCAATGGAAAAATCTGAAACGCTGAGCTGCTGCTGGGTCCAAATGGTGTAAGGTTAGGCTGGCTGCAGTAGCCACACCGCCGCCGCCGCTGCTGCTGCTGCCGCTGCCGCTAAACTTCCACCAAATAAAAAAAAAAAAGCTGTTTGTGTTTTGGCTGCTGCAGTGGCCATTTTAGGTAAGAAGCGCCCTTTAACTTTTGGATGCGGCTTGTCTTTGTGGAAACGTGTGTGTGTGTGTGTCTAGACTGGACTGTGGTGGCCAAACAGTGCAGGACTCCGGCATCCAGACTGAATAAACTCCGCGGAGCTGCGAGCTTTATGTGGATTAAATAGATATTGCACAGAGTTCCACTCCTCCTCCTCTCTTCATCCCTCCTCCTCCTCTTTCCTCTCCCCTCCCTCCTTCCTCCCCTCACCTCCCCATCTCTCTCCTCTCTCCCCTCCCTCCCCTGCCTGCTAATTTTTTATGCATTTTTCTAAACTGTCATGGCGATTTTGTGTCCTTGGAAATAAAAAGCGCCAGTGTTTTTTCGGGCTAACCGGGGTGATGTCTCGCCGGTGAGAGCGTGTGTCCGGTGTCCGGAGCAGGTGAGCAGTCCGCCGGGGAGGGTTTTTCGGTGGAGAGATGTCCCCGAGAAGGAGTTTTTAGAGGCTGTCCACACGTGTAAAGGAGAGGGGCTGTTATAATGTATTTACAACAGCGATGCAGTGACATTACAGAGCTAGCGGAGAAAGCTAGCTCGGTAGCAGCGGGGTGCTAACATGAAATAGGACACAGTGTCTCCTTCTCTCTGTCCGTGTGTGTTGTGTGTTTTTCATCCCGCTTTCTGCTCGCCGGGAACTTCTTTTTATTTCCTCCCAGCTCGCTCTTCCCAACTTGTGGCAATCCAGCGGCTTGCAACATTCAAGCTAGCTGCTGCCTGTTAGCCCCTGCGTCTGCTAGCATTGATTATATAGCCAAAACCTCAAAGAGGTGTAAGCTAGGTTGTTAGCCTGTTAGCCTCTTGAAACGTGTGTAGCTGTAGCAGCCAGGTGTGTGTGCGGGCACACAATGAGTCATGCATGTATGTAGAGTTGTGTAGTGGTGGTGTTGGTCCGTCTATCCACATGCTTTCACCTGGCCAGGTTGTGACACCCCCTGGGCAACAGACAAAAGGGTGTGCCAAGAGCTAACTCACTGAGCTCTGACTTTATTTGCATTAAATGTTTAAATATGAAAAATAAGTTTTCCCATTATATTCAGACTTCACAGTGATGACTCTGTCCTCCACATATTTCCCCTTAAATCTGTATTTGGCACAAGGCTCTGCAGCTGCACATGACAATGTATTTATTTCTTCTCATCGCTTTAAAGGTTGCTGGTTCAATTCTCCTCAGGGTTTGATCACCAGACAGTACATTGACCCACCTCACAGGGGACGAGGCGCCCCGCTTTGCCTTGGTGTTGTTGTGTTGTTTGCATGTGGACGTTGTGTTGGTGACATGCAGCCCAGGCTATCTGAAGAATCTGAAAGTGTCTGACTACTTATTTCACTCTTTGTGCCACTTTTTACGGCCTGCTTGCAGAACTGCGGCTGCACTTTGACTCCATCATCAAGAGAAGTTGCTTGGGCGAGGAAAAAAAACAACTTTTGCCTCCTTTTCAGTTGTTGAGACAGCTGACTGTTGAAGCAGGTGTAGAGACAGCAGTGTGCATTTGTTGTAGGAATGTTCCTAACGACTAGTTAACCTGGTGTTTAAATGGAAGTTAAAACTTAGACTCGTCGACTAGTCGAGTAAGAGTCAGACAACACAGAGAAAACAGCCAAAATTGAGGACAGCTTCATCTGTAAACTGAGACACTGTCTGAGACAAATAGTGCATTTAATATAAGAGCCATTTCCAATAGTGAATCACGTTTAACCAAGTCAAATTTTAACTTTGCATCAGGCATGGTGAACTATATCAAAACATGATAACAATTCACTAAATTAGAGTTAACAAACAACATCTATTGAAAATATTATTCTTCAGGAAAATAAGTCTTTTTTTATTGGGCGAACACAATTGCACTAAATCATAATAATTTAGTTATTAACCAACCTGTATTTCTGGTGCTGACTTCCAAGGATAGCAATGTTTAAATGACTAGTTGACATATCCCTAATTTGAATATGTCACAGCACGCTAAGTACAATAATTTACCAAATAATTTGTGGTTTTATGTTCATACTGATGAAGGATAAATACATGTCAGCTGCTGTTTGTACAGAAAACAATGGAGAGATAAATACCAGCAAGTGTTGTCATTAAACGTGACCTTTCCGTGACACCACACCTTTACACCTCTGATAATTTATTTGGTAATAATAATGATGTGTTTCCAGTAGTAATACGTGGCCATTTTTGTTTACATCTGACAATTAATACCCATTTTTGAACAGGTAAAGTTCAAAGCCAACTTCCTGTACGTTTCTAAAAACCTTTTGTGATAATCACAGGGTGCAGACGACCCCTTTGTGTCAGCATAATGTTTTAACTCGAGGCGACAGTGTGACACAAGATTTCAGTGATCCACCTGTTGTAGATAAATGCAAGTGCAAACATGTGTGGAATGTGGTGTTTAATAATAAATCAGGACAGATAAGCAGTGACACCACACTCCCTGGCCACTTTATTAGGAACACCCATGCATTTCAGTATCATCCAGCACAGCGGAACTGCCACAGATTCCACATTTGGGAAGGTTTTATCAGTTTTTGTAGACATTATCAGAGAAGTTTTCATTTATCTCTGTTTATTATTAGACTTGTAGTTGGTTGTGGTGTACTGGAATTGATATTTAAAGGTGTTTCTAATGATCTTCGTGTTTTTAAAACAACAGAAACACCTCCCAGTCTTCACTACAGTGTTCATTCATTCATTCATTCATTCATTCATTCATTCATTCATTCCTTTTGGAGCCTATCCCAGCTGACATTGGACGAGAGGTGGGATGGACCCTGGACAGGTCACCCTACTATCACAGGGCTGACACATAGATACAGACAACCATTCACACTCACATTCACACCTATGGACGATTTAGAGTCACCAGTTAACCTGCATGTCTTTGGACTGTGGGAGGAAGCTGGAGCACCTGGTGCCACGACACACCACAATATGATAAACATTTAGCTAAATTGCCACCTCTCTGACAGTATCAATGAAAACTGAACATTATCAGCTTTGTAAAGGTAGAATTCACAGCTGAGCTTTTGTATTGTGTTGCTTTAGATTTTATAACTTTACCTAATAAAGTGACCACTGATAGCGTTTTTGCACCGAACAACATATTAGTTGATTACTTCACTCACGCGGCAGTACTGCAGTGACATGAGAACTGCTCCTTTCAGCCTCAAAATGATGACAGAAGTTATGGACAGTTATTTTTTAGCAGCAATTACAGCAACAGGCACAGTGCACCCATGGATGTATAAAGAGAACTGTATACAGTGTCAGAGGTGGGGCTACGTTCATTCCTAAAAAGTTGCTCATTGGCGCATGGAGCCAAAAATTTTGACATCTCAGGTATAAAATTACCTGATTCTCCTGCATCATGGGTCCATAGAGCAAGCGCAATAAAGACCTCCGTCAGCCAGGCGGCTAACTTCTGGTTTGGCCTTACACTAAATTAAATGGGGATAAAATGATTTAATCATGCTGCTCTTCTGGACATTTGAAATGTTATTGGACCAGATGGATCAAATCCCAATAGTGTTAGTGAGTCATTTAGAGGGGGCTGTGACGTTAAGAAAATGTATTTGCTGATTCACAATGTAGGTCTCAAGGGAAAAAGTCATTTTGGGCCCAGTGTGATGGACCCGGAAGTTATAATTTCCATTGTTTTACCACTATGTCAAAGTGGCTTCAGAGCCCTGAGCTGTTGATGGGGGCTTGGTAGAAGCATATAGACTGTTTAATCGCTTTATAGGAAACGATAACCACAGTTTGCTTTTTCATGACTAATCCTAACAGCAAACGTCTTCATCTGTCTTGTAAATAATTTAATGCAACCTAATAATCAAAATTGGATGCAGGTTTCGTACGTGTACTCTGTTTGCACAGCGGATAACTAATCACAATCATTCTCAGATTAGACTTTTTGATATTTAAGAAAAGAAAGACACTGTAGCTGTGCCCCAATTCCACATTACTCACTAACTGACATCAACTGGATGTCAATCAAACTGCGACTTATGAAGGACACTTCAAATTAAACTTATCAAAGAGTCGGCAAAATGTTTTTTCAAGTTATTTTTTGGTTTCTGAGGTGCTCCTCGAGCTGTTTCATCTCCACCCACTGATTTAATTTTCTGCAGTTGTGATTAGCTCCTTTATTTCCTTTGTGCATCACATCAACAACATACTCAAAAGTTGAGTTATTTTCATATTCATATTGACTGAGTTTAAGTATAGTGAATTTTCCAGTGTAAATGCAGGACATACTCAAAACCTGCTTGATGTGTATTGTCAGTGAATGAACCAAAAAGACACCATCAAGAAATTGTTGGTAGAAATAATGCTTCATTTTTTATTTAGAAGGACTTCTGCTTTAATAACAGCGGATGCATGGCAAATGCATTTATCCTTTTAAAACATTAAAAGGCAACAGGGTGACTAATACATTTACGACTCTCCATATAACTTTCCTAGGGACACACAGATGTATCTGCAGCACACCTGTATCAGCCAATATCCTCTGTGGTGGCTACCATCAGCCTATCAGCAAGTAAGATGACTTACTGTTGGCTGTGGCAGATGTTTTTCCGTTGTGTCACATCAGTTTTGCACAGGCAGAATAGCAGGCCCCAAGACCAATGGCATCCTGTTGTCGTGGTGACAATACAAAAATGCCTTTGGGATGAAAAGAAAAGGTAAACTCACTATTGAGTTGCATATTGCATCAGGGGATGCACCAAAATTTTTCCCTGATAAAGCTACATGTGAACAATAAATATGTGTTGAAATTAGCTATTAGCTGTTAGCAGCCGGTGGCTGACTTCAGATTCATTTCCTGTGTCTATGTCATGTGGGTTTCACCGCTGCTCCACCCCTTTAGGAGACTAACATCGGCCCTGAGTCCATTCATTCCAGTGGGAAACTTGAACTCGAGTATGTATTATGACCGTTTCCTTCGCCCCATAGTCTCTTATGTGAATATTGGGCCCATTTCTGACGAGCCCCAACCCTTGTAAACATTCTGACATTGAAATAGCATTTTTTCAGACACACAAATCAGGAGAAAATTAAGAAAATTAAATTCTGTTTTAGCAACACCCTCGTGAGATCTGGCAACAGCTGACATGATCTTACATTTGATTCATATCAGATGTTAAGCTAGCAGATAAAAACGAGCAGCAAAATAAGGAACAAAATTTGTACTGTTTACAGAGCTGTTTTGAATCTGCTTTCATCCATTCACAAGATGTTCACTTCACTTCCAAACAAGGTGGGGGAGATAGAACCATGTCCAATGAGGAGACTGGAATTGTATACGATTTCGTACCACTGGCGCAGCTTGTAATGTGTTAACTGTTGTCATGGAGTATCTTTGCTGCAACTAACAG